CCAATTTTTTTATAATTTTTACTGTGTATCACTTCTTTGAACGATATTGAACTCACCACGTGATGATGATAGCAGGTCGAGTTCCACTGACACCCTACCCAACCAACCATCCAATTTTTTGAGCGATATTTTTATTGTATTTGCAGCTTTTTCACAAAGATTTTCAATGACATTGGATTCTTTGGCTAAATGTATTCAAGGTTCCTTTCTTATATATACTACACATTTAATGCTTGATTTTTTTGGAGAAATTAAGTATAACTAATACAAAAATTAGTGTTGCTCGATTATATATATCTCTAGCTTCATATTTACATATCTCTTTCGAAACCTCGGTCACACTGCCTGGGGGAGCAGGAAAGCATTGGTATTTGTCTAATGCGGGCTGTGTCAAAATTGATGAGTGATTTACTATCATTTTCGCAAGTCTTGGTGGAGAATATGCCACACGAGAATTCCAATTAATGACATGAAAGTTATCCGAAAATTAAAAGTTTATCTTTGGTTCTACGATATTTACAGCAATCCTTTAATTTAGGCTGGCTTGTCTTGCTTTTGGCATCCTTCTTTTTATACAACCTAAATAATTGATTGTTTATTGTTATCTTTCCGGACTGGAATAAGGGAACAGGGTCCTTATTTTCGTTATCTTCTGGACAGTGTTCTAAGGTGATCACAATTAAAATGTCCAACTGATATTATTGATTGACTAGAATTTGTTGAGCAAGGACAAAATTCCGTACTACTGTAGTAATTTCCATAAATATTTACAATAAGTTAACGAGATTTTATGCGGTTACTAAACATAACCACTAAAGTAATCGATACAAGTTTATTGCTTCATTTTCTAGTATAAGGAATTCGAAAATACTTGTTTTCTTTCATATTTTATTGGCGATCTTCCAAAAATCTGAGAGCTTAAAATCTTTTTGCTAAGTATGAAAAATCGCATTAACTAAGCATCTCTAAAGTTATAAGATAATACTTTAAGTATTTTTTGAGAATTTCAGAAAAATGTCAAAAAATCAAAGTGTCCCTTACACTATTGTAAGGCAGTGTATATAAAGTTAATATTAAATATTCCTATCCGTCTNTATATGTATATATATATATATATATTATACAGGCGGACTTCCATTTTGAGAATTTCTCCATTTTGCGAGGTTTTTTTTCTCTCTTTGAGTAAACAAGAACATTTTGGAAATTTCTTCGTAAAATAACTGCCAAATAGAGAAGTGAATTTTTTATTTAATAAACTTTTCTTTGAGATCCAATTTTCCAAAATATTTCAGAACATTTCAAACTTGTTAACCCATTTTATGGGGAAAATGACCTTGAATTGATTTTCGCAGCCGCTTAACTTTTAGAGAAAGCAGTAAAATCCCTCTCGGTTTGCATTTCATACAGGAATCCAAGCCAAAAATCAATTTACGAGAAACCATAACAGAAATTTCTAAAGCATAGAACTATGATATTACTATTCGTTTGATATTACTATTATGGTCATACTATTTGTAAAAGTTTTGCTAAAGCTGAATTCTTCGTCAGCGCGGAGAATTTGGAAAGTATGGAGGACGGACGAGGATATTCCTTTAGAACAGGGGTTTCCAACCGGCAGCCCACGAACTAAAATATTTTAGTTTTCATAGCGGACAATTTTTGTAAAAATTCGATAAGGGCTTAAAATATTTTTCACGTTAAAAAAAAAAAAAAAAAAAAAATTTCAAAAATATAATTTTTTTGTCATCTGTGAAATTTAACATACCAACGTTGCAAAAAAATTTATTTCTCTGGTTTTGCATTCAAGAAAATATTTATTCAAATACAGAAATAATCGTGCATGTTGTTCTCTTCTTTTATTTCTTTTTTTTAAACTTTTTTTTATATTGTGAATATAATTTAGCATGTGCTTATCAGAAATTCTCCAATTTAGCTTTTTGAAACCACTCATTTTGGACGAAATTATTTACATTTGTAAATTTTAAAGTGCATAAAAGAGGGAATGAATATCATGTTTTATTTAAATTCCTTGAATTGAATATCGCATGAACGGAAAAGAAAAAAAAAATTAATTTCAGATGCTCGAGAATTTTTTAGTTGTTGCTATAATTCCTAATAAGTCTAAAAAATGTTAATTTATCACAGAATTAAATTTGAAACTAAAAAAAATCTTGTCACTAAGTTTCAGATTAAAAGAAGATTCAAAATGATACGTAACAAGTATTATTTGTAATGCTTGTTATTTTTTTTAATATTAAAAAAACTTTTAAAAAATCTGACACCAATATTTAATGTTCCTTCAAACATAAAAGAGTCCTATATAAAATTTTGATAAAGTTGCGGCCCGCCATTTGACTGGTGTTTTTAATTGCGGCCCCCGGCCTCATGTAAGTTGGAAACCCCTGCTTTAGAAGAACTTAAAAAAATATGGGTACAGCTAAGAGAGACCCACGAAATTAAAAATGAAGTACTGATTAATGATTTTCTTTTTATTGATTCTGAAACTGCAACCACAGAAACATTAACTGAAATGAATATTTTGGAGACAGTGGGAGAAATAAAAACAATAAAGCAATAAATTGCGAGGAAGATGAAGAAATCACTAAACCTTCATATGATGAAATGTTAAAATCATTTGAAACAATTCGATAGTCGATTTCAATAGTATTCAATTGCAGTTTTAGTTATGTTTAGTGTATATGAATTCAAAACCTGTTTTGTGTTGTTTAAGTATTTCAACTGATGATTTTCTATTTAAGGAATTTTTTATATAAGAAACTTTTATCAGGATTTAGCGATTTCGTTAAATAGGAGTCCTGCTGTGTGTATATATATATATATACCGAAGAGCCATTACATTATGACTAACCTGCTAATAACATGTAGGACCACCTTTAGCCCTCTAAACTGCTAGCACCCGCCGTGGCATTGATTCCACAAGGTGCTAGGTAGTCTGAGCTATCTGGTACCAAGCGCTCACCAACTGGTCCTGCAATTCCCTCATATTGCGAGGGGGTAGCGTGGCAGCACGACAGCACGAATTTGTTTTCCAAGTAGGACCGCAAATGCTCTATTGCATTAAGGTCAGGTGAATTTGGGAGCCAAGACATGACTTGATAGTCACTGGAATGTTCCTCGAACCAATCCATGACTATTCGACCCTTATGACATGGTGCATTATCCTGTTGGTAAACACCATCCCCCGCAGGAAAAACTGTTGCCATGAATGGGTGAACTATGTTCAAGTAGCTTACAGACGTCAGGGATTGTTCTATGAGGATTATGGGTCCTTATGTACCCCATGAAAACATTGTTCCTGGGCGAGAAACCATGAAAACCTGGGCAAGCCCATTGTTATAGATGGAGGGTGGTCATAATGTAATGACTCTTCGGTGTATATATATTTAATTATTTTTAATTTTAAAAATTATGCAATATTGTTAAATAATATTTACTCCGAGGAATTAATCTTGCTTCGTAATCATGATGATAATATTGAATTTTAATTTTTTAGATTTAAATATTAAGAAAGAAGAAAATATCTGCATTGTTTATTTATACGATAAAAGAAATTATTTTAAATTTAATATAAATAAACTAATAACATGAAATTCTAATGTTTCTAAAAACATTTATTTAAATGCCATTTTTAATCAAGATAATTAATTAATAGAATTTATAATCTTTATTTATCGAAAAAACAAATAAACTTCCAAAATTTAATAAGAAAGTATAGATATCAAACTAATGTAATTAAATTATGTATTAAATCGTTGAGTTAATAATAGTTTTAATAAAAAATTCTTTGTTAACATATTTATATTTTTACCATGTGCAAATTCAATTCGGGCAAAGCCATGCTTAAGAAAGATAAATATTCATTAAAAAAAATTTTAAAATAAGAAGATATTTTTCATTAAGTGATAATTTCTTTAAAATCATCAATAAAAAAATTGTAATTGAATTACAGATTAATCCAAGGTAACTAACAAATCCAACGTGCTTCTGTAATTCAGTAACAACGCGCTATAGAAAATCTCCTCAAACTATATTTACGTTTCCATTTTCATATTTTATGATCTGGCAAACTTGTTACAAAAGTATTGTAAATCATTTTTAAAGATGCCATTACGTGTTAGTACAATTCGCTACTCGCTTTATATATTACTGTTGTATTTTCTTCTGTATTTTCTTGATTTTTATTTTCTATTTTTACTTGATTGTTTTAAGTTGCATTTGTTTTATTTTGCATTTTTTGCCTGACTAGTTCTTTTTTCGTTTCAATTTTTTTATTGCTCTTCACACTATTGTATTGGTTTGCTTTGCTATAGCTATATGAATATAAAATTAGAAAGCACTTTTTTGCGGATATAATCGTGTGAGCTGATGACGAGATTCTTTCTTTTCATTACTTTATTTACAGCTTTAAATTTTTTTTAACAATAATAAAAAATTTCGAAATTATTATTTTTAATATAAAATATAGAGAAAACATGGAAAATAATCTAATAAAGATTAATGAAAAATGGAAGAACAATTATTTAAATAAAATATTTTTTAAAAATATTTTTAAAAAATTTTATTTAAAAAAAATATTAAAAAAACCGGAAAACAAAATAATGAAAAGATATTATCTCGACATCAGCTCACACAATTATATCCGCAAAAAGGAGTGCTTTCTAATATTGTATTAATATGTATACAAAGCAAAATATATCAATACATTAGCATATTTTTTTAAAAAAAATGGAAGAATTTTGCTTTCTTCTTTAAGTGGAAATAAAGGGATTGTTGGCTTACGTAAGCATAGCTCATAACCCTCGCCCCTTGTATGCAACATAAGATAATCACAAACACCATCCCCTTTAAGTGCGTTTTAATTTTAAAACCAATTACCTGATTTTGTGGTATAATTTTAATGAATGGAAACACTTCTTTGAATGTCAACAAAACATCTTTTTTTTTAATTCATGTTTTTTCTTGTCATTAAAAATACACAGTGTACTGGAATGGAGAAGGTGATATGCCCAGTCAATCGGATCTAGATCGTCTCGTACAGCAGAATTCGACGAGTATCATGAGTTTTNTTTGATAGAACTCATTAAATAAGTGCTTTCATGAAAAATTGAAAAATATAAGGAAAACATGGAAAATAATATAATAAAGATAAATGAAAAAAAGAGCAATTATTTAAATAAAATATTTAAAAAAAATTTTATTTTAAAAAAATATTAAAAAGCCGGAAAACAAAATAATGAAAAGATATTATCTCGTAATCAGCTCACACAAACATCACACAGCAAAAAGGAGTGCTCTCTAATATTGTATTAATGTATACCAAGCAAAATATATCAATACATTAGCATTTTTTTTAAAAAAAGAAACATTTTTGCATTTTTTTTAAAGTGGAAATAAGGGGATTGTTGGCTTACGTAAGCATAGCTCCTAAACCTCTCCCCTTGTATGCAACATAAGATAATCATAAACACCTTCCCCTTTAAGTGCGTTTTAATTTTAGAACCTATTACCTGATTTTGTGGTATGATTTTAATAAATGGAAACGCTTCTTAGAATGTCAACAAAACATCTTTTTTTTAATTCATATTTTTCTTGTCATTAAAAATACACAGTGTACTGGAATGGAGAAGGTGATATGCCCAGTCAATCGGATCTAGATCGTCTCGTACAGCAGAATTCGACGAGTATCATGAGTTTTCAGTCTAACCTCACAGACAGCTACCACTCTCAGATATCTGAACATTCGGAATCAAAGGTAAGAACTATAAAATGTTATGCCAGGAAATAATAGCTTTAATGGCAGTTTTTTTAGGATCAATTTTAGAAAATTGTAATTTTTGGGAGTAATTAATTTCAGTTTAACTGATTTATAAAAATGGGAATGCTAAAAATGAGATAATTAAAAGGATAAAAAAAATTTAGTGGGATTTTATCCCAATCAAAGAACTGAAGTTTTGTTGGCTCTTATAAATTATAATGTTCAATTATCTTGATTTATTACTCTTGATTTTTAATTATCACTATCTACTTTTATTCATGTTTTAGCTATTCCTTTTAAACTTTTTCAGTGGTGTTTTAACTTCCTACTTTTAACTGCTCTTATTTCTTTTGTACTGGGATTTTAATCATTTGTACTCATTTTATCTCAGAATTACTTTCCTTTTGCTATTGCAAATTTTTAGCTTTTTTTTATTCATGCTATTTTGCTGTATTTTGAGGGAGTTTTTTTTGTCTAAACTATTTTTGGTATTGATCTTATCTCTTTTCTGTTTACTGGTTTTAATTCTTCACTTTTGTGTTTTGTGTTGATAGATTTTTCATGTGTTCTATATGTTGTAGGCCCACTATAAAACGCACGAAGTGTCGAAGCTTAGTCCCCATATTAGACACAAACTCCGTTGGGGCAATATTTTCACATCTTTTTGCGACCCCCTATTAAACACAAGGTGTTTAATGAATATGGTGTATTATTTTTGTTTTATCCTTTGCTTACGGCCCTTAGTATGATGAAGCCCGTCATTTTGGTTCACCTGTTATACCAACCGTAAGCAAAATGTCAACTTTTGTAAGCATCATACAAGATAATACTTTGCAATCAAATTATTCTTGGTTTTGGTCTGTTGTCATCTGTAATATCTGTATGCCATCTGTAATAAATGACACTGTTGTCCCAGTCTGGCAGCTTGGTTCAGCGTGTGAGCGGACCTTGGTTCCTCCTGAGAGAACTATCGTGACGGCGAGTTCACCTTTCTGTAATCTCCAGTGGGTGGGGTCAGTGAACATCTATACTTATTAAAAGAAGTGTTGTAATAATCGATATAGCTACAAATCTGAGGAACAAAGATACCTTTAGAATATAGAGTGTGGGAAAGCACTATACCAATCTTTTTCAAATATGCTTTCAATTCATTATTTCTAGACACCTTTGCTGTAGCTGCTCGTTTCTCTAACTGAGAGGACACATATTCCGGCTTTTTGAATATGTGAGAGTGTAACCTCGATAATCATATAATCCACCAGTTGCAAAACTCGATTCAGGCTGTTATGCATGTATGGATTGCTCATTTGCTATTCATTCTATCAAAAAGTAATTAGTTAAGAAATAGATTTTAATTATTAGTTTTCAATGTTTTAATACTAAAGGGATCTTCTTAAAACAATGTATGATTTCCTGATTGGTAAAAAGCGTTTTTTTTTTAAAAAATAAAGCAGAAAGAAGGAAGAACCTCCGAACCAATTAGTTAATATTCGTTAAATGGACGATAACCGTCTCTTTCTTTTGTTTATTTGAAAAAGGAAGAAGAGATCAGCCTCCTTTTGAACAAAGTGAAATCTCAGAACAAAGTGGAAGCAAGCAAAATTCTTCTTGCCATGTCAAGCACCGCCGAAAACTGTATCACAATGAGACACTGTGGTAAGTACCCGTTTTCATTTTTATTTTACTATTATATAGAGAATTCATAAGAAATTTGAGTTCAACCTTCTATTTCTAAACTGCTGCTCAATGGCAAAAATTATAGAGATTGAACGGTTTTTCTTTACACGAGAAAATTTTTAAAGGTATACGACAAGCATTAGTAAATTTGACTAAATTCACTGACTTAAATATAGAATATAGGAGTTAGTTACACGTACTGACCTTAATATGTATTGTAAAATTTTTGTCATTGAGAATTTTAAAAATGTACACATTGGTGGTAACTTATCAATATTTGTATAAAAAAGTTCGTAAACTTAACGAATTACTATCAATCAAACTGGTTTTTATGCTAATAATAACACATTCTCCATAATTGAACACGACTCGTCGATTACTTTTCATCCATTCGCCGTTATATTGTAAGTGGATCTTTTTTAATCAAATTAAGAATATTTTGTTGTATGTTAATCAACTAATAAACAGTAAAAACAATAAATCAAACCGTTTATATTGAGTAGGGAAGATTTTTACTGCATTAAATTGAAATTAAAAAGAAGACATTGTTGACAAAAAGGAATGAGTCTAATTTAAATATAGTGTGCGGTTTTTGCGTTAAATGAATAGAACAAATGGATTGTGCAAACAGACGTTAACGTATATACCTTGATTTTTGTACGCCTACTTTGACGGTATTTTTTAAGTTATTCCAGACTTAATAAACGAAATATTTACTTCCAAAACTAAAATTTTTTTTCTACATTTTATCTTTGTAGGCTGCCTTCCTCTTCTGGTAGATCTGCTGCACCAACCGGAGGAAAACTCGAACAGTTCGTACCACGTGATGCACGCGAAGAGGGCTCAATTCGAAGTGAGGGAGAGGGCAAGTCAGGTGCTGCACAATATCGTCCTCTCACAGCCGGACGATAAGAGGAGTAGGAGGGAAGCGAGAGTACTGAGACTACTGGAGAATATCAGGGACTACTGCGACTACCTCAGGAGCATCGAGGGAGACGACAACAGAAATGGTAATTCTATGAAGCAATAATGCTGTCCACCTTATTTAATTTTGCGCGGGCAATAATGCACATTTAAGCGATGCCATTTTCGATACTCTTTTTAATTCGATTAATTTCAACTAAGTAAAATGCAGGTGAGGATACTATCGTAGAAATAAAAACCACAGTGATATGGTTTGAAGAGTCAAGGGAAAAAATAGACAGAAGATTTACCATATCATTGACAAAAAAAAAAAGTGTCACTTAAATTCTTATGCGTAAATAGTGTTCCTTCAGGGGGAGATTTCGAAGTTCACAACTACTTGTGATGCAAAATATGTATTCATCACTTTTAAAGCAGAAACAACTTTTAAAGCAGAAACATTTAATGCTTAGCACTCAAGCGGGCTAAAGAAAGTTCATATCTGAAGCCCAATCGCTGAGAAATCATCCGTTCCAAGTCCGATAGTCTTCAAAAATGTTCTAGTTTGGTTGGAGAGAGGTTTCTGCTATTTCAAAATGAATTTATAATTTTTATCCTGGGAAGTTTAAACACTGTTCTAATTTTTGAAGCTTTCCATTGAAAATATTAAATAGATGTTATATTAAAGAATTTATTCTTCGTTCGAAGTGAGTCCTTCTGTACTATGGCGATTCGTTTCTCAACGGCGAGTCTCATGAGTGTTGGCAAGATAACATTGCTGTTAGTTTTGCGATTTGCTGCCGATGATTTAAAAATACAGTTTTCATGAAAATGCGGAGCTTCTTGCTATCACTCTTCATCGCTCATTCACATATCCTTTCTATGGATGTCTGTGTGATGATGCCTCTTTAGGAAAATTAAACATTGTTTTTTATTTTATTATTATGCCGACCGGCCTGTGTAGGAGGCAGGGAACTGTCCTTGTATCAGAAAGGTTCTGGGTTCGAATCCTGGGCAAGGCACGGATGTTCTTTCCTTCTCTGTACTATCTGTCCTCACTGTGGGAGCGACGTTGGCTCACCTAATATGCATGGTGCCCCTGAAAGATAAGCCAACAAAATCGCCCTGTATATGCCTGAATTGACGGATGTTAACGCAGGTGGGCATTGGAAAAAAAATTATTATTTTCTTTAATATTAAACTTAAAATGCTCGCTTTGCTATCTGTCTTTCTTTCTTTTTTTCAAAATTCTGTTCTTAAATTTTTCTTCTTTAACGGAAACAAAAAATTCAGAGATCAGTGGATTGGTGACAGATATATTTATTGTTTCATTACACCAGACGATGAAGAAGCACAGCGGAAAGACTGATAGAAAGGAACACCACAGTTAAATATTCGTTTGTAGAAAGTTTAATTTAAAGATTCACTTGTATAATAAACTCTATCGGAGTACGCCCAAAATATACCCTAAAATATATATTTATAAATTTATGAGTGGCTGAATGAAAAATTCATTTTCAAACAGTTTTGAGTTGGACAGAAACGTTAGCTTTCTTTAAAATAATTGTCTTTGGGATTATTTAACCTAGACTCCTGGGGGTAGGGTCCACGTAAAAAGAACACAAGATGTTTGTAAAACATTTTCTGTTTTTAGAAAGATTCTGAAGAAATGGAAATAAAGTTTCATAACTTAGACTACAGGGATTACTTGATTTTAAATGTTATTTCTGCATTTGTTTCAAAACTAGTCTCAAATAGTAAGAAAAAAAGCGCTGATAAATGCTTTATTCTTTTTATTTTCTTTATTCGAATATGCTGAATATTTGCGTTTCTTTTGAGTAGGGGGAGGAGAAGGAGCTGAGAAGCAACAACTTGGATCATCTGTTGCCTCCCTTATGAAACTCTCATTCGATGAAGATCACAGACATTCTATGTGCCAACTAGGTGAGAGACAAACTTTTATGATGCCAAAGTTTGAATACGTTTAGGTGTTGATTATCTCACAAAATCAATAATCGATGATAAGGATTTAAAGAAAATAGACAATTTTAAAAAAAAATTTCTTAACTTATGTATATATTATTAAATCTTGTTTCTATACTAATTAAATCCTGTTTCGTGCAACAATTTGTAATACTTTTTATTTTTGATTTTCTTAAACGTCATTTTGAGTATCATTTGACATGCATTCACTGAGTTTTTTTTCCCACATTTTAACTGAATAATATTTCAAAATATTATCACTTTTATCTAGCGCTTTTGCGCTTGTTAATTATATTCCACGCAATAATTCGTTTTTAAGTGCAATAAATAATATTAATTCTAATAATAGTATGATCAGGTTTCAATATTGTCTATTTTATTTTATTTTTTCTAGCGTTAATACTTTCTTGAGCGTTTTAAAAACTACAACAAAAACCAGATTCTATGAGAAATTCGGAATAATTTTCTCCGCGCGGAAGCATTTAGGATAGCATTTAGCATTTAGCAATAGGATTTTTTTTCAACAGAAGTTTGAAAATATTTACAATAAACATATTCAACATAATTTTTTATAAAAAAAATAGACTTGTAGAATAGAATTTTAAAAAAAAATAGAAATAGATTTCTGGCGAAGTAGTGGAAAATCCTTAATTACTGTTTCCTTTGTCACATTTCCACACTTTGTCAGCATTCAGTTGTGTATTTCAGCTCCAAATTTAGTGATTATTTTAAAACAGTTGACTCTTAAAAGTCTGGCATTCATTATGAAGCATTATTATAAAACATATGTTTTAACGTTATTTAGTTCTAGTACGATAACCACAGTAAATAATACCATAAGATGGAAATGACAAACTCAAATATACCACTTACAAGAAACTAGTAAGCATCTTAACCGACTACGGTTTTAGAACATTTGAGAACATTTTAAAAATACCATCAATAAAGTTCAATCCGAACTCCGTCTTACTAATAGCACTGCCATCCTCCCAAACTATTAGATTGAAGATGGTGCTTCATGAATGATAATAAGTGTCAGTTACGATTTAGGCATGATGGGCAGTGTAAACCACAAAACAGTAAATGTAAACCTAAAATTTAAATCCAGCTAACAATTGATTAAGGAAATTAATCGGAAAATGATTACAAATAAATTTAGCTTTAAAATGTTCAGCTTCCAACGCAAAGTTGATTTTATTGCTGCAAATTCATTTAAATCTAATTATTTGAGGAATATTATTGCCTCTGAACGCTTTGGTAATGATACAAACCAAAACAGACTGAGCACCTAAAATTTGAAGTCTTCACGTTTATCGTATACAAAGATCGTAGGTTTGTTCGTGGCCCGACATCCTGTATGTAATCCAGAAAGTTTACAACAACATCATTTTCAAATTATTTTTACAGGATTTAAACAAATTGAATAAATTGAATGATGTAATAAATGAAATTCAAGAACGTTATTGCAGATAATGTCCTCAATGAATCTAAAATATTTAAAAAAAACTGCGATTAACTTCGTTCTACAGACGCTTTTCGTAGTAATTTAAAAAAAGTTATTTATTTTTGAACTAAAGTCGGCTTCCGTTTAAATACCATTAAAATGCTCTCTGCATGCTTATGTTTATTAGAGTTTAATGGCTTTATTTACTGAAAGTATTTAAATTAATGATTCAATGCNATATATTATATATATATATGAAAATATTGGTATTATATTCTTCACTTTTTTGCACGATCTGATTGGTTACTAAAAAAAAATTAAAAATGCATATGACTCAGGCATTCGTTGTAAGGTCATTCATGGTGATGGAGCAAGTCCAGCCCAGCAAAATTCCTCTACCTTCTTCTTCAAAAAAATAATAATTTAAAAAATTTCATAAAACACCTGCTCAGAGCATGATTGTTTCTAACTCCTGGAATCGACGAGGTCATTCGTAACAAAAAGACTTAGGGTGAAAGAGAGAATGAAGCTTTTTTGTTAATTAACCAGTCACAACAAAGTTATTTCTCATCGCGTGTGTAACAAGTACTACTAAATTAACTGCTACCTAAATTCCTTAGAATTCCTTAGATCATAAAATTTCGCTATTTCATAGCTATTTGCGGTACATTATAAATATTTTTCTCGTTTTTCTTCGCAGGTTTATAGCATTTTAAAATTCATAAATATATTCTTTTTAATGATTGCACGATTTAAAATATTATTTTTAATTATTACTCAGTATAGAAAGGTACTTAGATCTCCTTGCGGTTGTTAAGACGCAAAGCGAACATCAAAAGGGACAGTTTTAGTTTGATTGTGAACTAGAACTACTTTAATATTTATCTTATGATGAAGTAGTCAATACTTTGTACACTACCCTTCAAAATGTTGAAACTACAACTGTGAAGAGTATTTTTCCTTCAGTATTTCTAATTTATTTTTATCTGCAGATATGACGTTATTCTCTGGTATGATTAAAATATTTTTACTAACTCATTATTGCTTTGTGCTTCCTAAATCTTTCTTTCAAGTGTTAAATTGCAGCATCCAAAAATTGATTAAAAATTATTATTCTAAAATAGGTTTCGGATGATTCTGTTGAAATATAAGAGAAATATGTTTTCTTTTTCTTTTATTTTTTATTTTATTTTATCGTGGAACGACAAATCTTGCTTCGTGGAAATTTCATAGTTTACTCTTGGTGCATCTCAGCCACAGAGCTGTAATACAAGCAGAGCAAGCCCGCTGCTGTATTTACCCATCTCTCTTCGTACCTAACATCAGTCACGTGCTTCCTCCCAATCGACAATTTTGGTGGAGAAGGAAAGGTGTCGCTTAGCAGTTCAAATGAGTTCTGCTTTGTAGTAGATTCGTGGTTTGTACTTATTCAGGCTATGAAGGTTAAAGCTTCAGAAGCGTTATGATTAGGGCAACAGTAAAAAAAACTAAGATTTTAAGATTAACTTCGCTAGATCAAAAATTATTTTGGAATTCTAAATTTTCTATATGTTTAAACTTTACAAAATTGTTTATATTTTGACAAAATTACGAAAATTTTAAGTTTTAAATTTTTTTTTAAACCGTTACTACGTTTTTTTCCGATAACCTCTTATTTGTACTTTTTAAGCTTTAAAAATGTTTTAAAAGATTTTAAAACTTTTCACATAGTTTCCACTAACAAAACAGATGCCGAAATAGCCTGGTTGGTAGGGCACTGGACCCATGTCGGAGGGATCGTGAGATCGATCCTCGCCGGCCGAAGTCTCCCTGTGTAGTAAATGGTGACTGGTGCACGTTAAATTTGCCGGGTCATAAAATCCTCCAAGTTTCCATACCAAATAATTATCTCTGAGGGTACTGAATTGGAGATTGATCGGTCTCTGGTTCAGGTTTAAATTACGATCTGTGGAAGAATGAATGGATGTATGAATTGATCAACCCTATAAAAGAGCAGTGGTGTTTGTGTGGCTAAAAACTTATTCTTGGCCACAGATGGTGCCACTGAAAAACAAGAAGCGCATTCTCTGCCTTAAATTCGCTTGGTTTTACATACTTTTTACTTGGTTTTACTTGCTTGCTGATAGTTGACAAGTGTCATTAGAAACAACAACAACTATGATACTAGCGAAACAAATGTCCATATTTATTACCGAAGTTAAAAATCAATTTTTTTTTTCATTTTAACGTCAAAAATTTTTAAACTGTCAAATAAATATTTACCAATTAATTAAAAATATATTATTATTTTTAACCTTTGTTAAAACTTACTTTTATAAAAGTTTCGTCCAACAATGTTTTATATATGTAAAAAAAGAAACTACCTTAACACAATTTTTTTTTAAAGTTAGTTCATTTTTATTGATTATCCTTGGGGTTTATTTATAAAGTATTCATCACATTTTAGAATTCATCTTAGGGAACTTTTTAGTTATAAATAAAATTGTTTTTAAAGATTGATAACATGGCAAATAATAGTACATTATCTTGTAAAATCATGAATATCTTTCCAAGTACTGAGAATTTGTCAAAAAAATTATAAAAAAGGATTTAAACCTTTCCATAACAGCATTTAATCCTGCTCATAATTTGTTTGCAATTTAATATTTTGAAGAAGAAATAAAATTCACCTTTTCAAACTTCACTGTTTACTCTCAACTAATTTTTTTTCTGTATTTTATTTTTATTTACTAATGCATTTTGAAGAGATTTGCCACGAAAGATTTCTCCCCGCTGTATAGATGTTGAGTATTGTTTCTTATTTTTTTTCCAATTTCCTTTTTGATAAAGATTCTAAAAATATGTGTTAAGGGTCGTGACTGCGAAACACTCATCGAAGAATAAATTTCCGCCAGAGGCAATCAAAATTATTTAGTGTTTAGAACCTAAAATATTGAAGGTCAGTCAAAAATAAAGAATATTAAAAAAAAATAGTTGTATAAAACTTATAAAGGAAAAGGTTCTTACTTATGCTGAACATTAAAAACGAAAAAAAAATTTTGTTTTTAGAATAAAATATGCACTTAAATATTTTTGAATGAAAAAATTATAATAGCATAAATATGAAATAAACATTTTGTAGAAAATAATTATGTTTGTGAATGGTTATATTACTAGATTATACATATGCCTAGAATCGATAAGGTTATTTTTTTCGCATTGATATTTTCATGAATCTTTTATTTCACATACAAATATAGAGAACCATCTTCAGTATAGAAATTCAGTATAGAAATAGAAATTCGATAAATAATATTATTTCATAAATAAATTTACTCTCGTTTTTAAATAATATTGCGGATTTTTATTAATGAGTGTTTTTTCTTTCAGGTGGACTGCAGGCTATTGCTGAGTTGTTACAGGTGGATCAAGAAGTGCATGGTTGTAACAATGACCAATACTGTGTCATGATCCGAAGGTATTCAGGTATGGTACTGACCAACCTGACTTTCGGAGATGGAGCAAATAAAGCCCTACTCTGTTCCATGCGTCCCTTCATGGAAGCTCTGGTAGCTCAGCTCTACTCACCCAGTGAAGACCTCAGACAGGTAGTGTGAAACTTTTTTTATTTGTTTACATTTTCTTTGACTCGTTGCTGTGGCTTTCGTCAAAACTTCTCTCTTTTCGACATCAAATCTTTTCTGCTGAGGCTCATAACAATACAAGTTTTCAATCGTTTCCTATCAAGCTAAAAAGAAATTTAAAGACACTTTTTCAAAACCTAATAGTCAAATTTGCAAGGTCATTCAAAATCTGTAGCATCTTTCGAAAATATTTCTGCACACAATTTAAGTTAAGCGAACTAGGAAGGAAACAAAACTGAAAATCAGAAATATAAAAAAAAATAAAGAGTTTTAAAAACTGTGTTTTTAAAGTCAACTGAAAAGGAAAAAATAATTCATTATATTTTTGCCAAACTGAAACAGAAAACTGATTAATTTCCTCACTTTGATATTTAACTATCACCACTGAANAAACTATTTCCACCGAAAATTTTCCTTCCCCTATCCGTCTTTGAAAGTGATGCGCCCTACGTTTTTCGAGCCTACTACGTTTAATAACAAACTACGATTTACTAATAACTATGCATTATATTTTTCTTATTTAATTTATGAATGCTTGAAAAAAATGTGAATTTTAAGTTTTACAAACTTTTACACCAATGTAATCTTATTTAATTTCAAAAACGAAAAATTTAGTCTTGAAAGGAAATACGACTTCCCAGAGATAACGAAATACACAAAGAGCGATAGTAAGATTAAAAAATGAAAAAAACAGATATACCAGATAGCATTTTAAAAAACCTACTCATCTGACTATTAGGACCATAATTTTTAGATTCGGGCTGTCCTCCATATTTTGAGGAAAGCCCATATTAATCCAAATCTGTTTTGGGGGGGGGGGGGACATTTAATTCTCAGAAAGTACATTTTTTCTCTCAAAATTTTGTTACATAAAATTTCTTCTGCACTGTATATTAGTATATTTAGGGCTAAGGAATGGAATCATTGAGTCTTCGTAGATCAAAAAAATTTCAGATTTTCATTTCTTTTTTCTTTTTTTGCCCACTTTGAGTGACACTGAAGTGACTGTTTACAGTTTGAAGAGGGGGGAAAAAACTCTTGCCATCACGAAAATATTTTAAATCGATAGGAAAACTAATATTTTACATAATCAATATCGTCTCCAAAATTATGGGGTTTATACAAGATAATTTAGTAACAATGTAGTGTAATAATAATACAAAATGGAGCGGAGCTTCTAAATTTTACCTATTCATTACCCCATTGCCTAAGCGGAAAATAAATCGTCGTTAAGTTGCTAACAAGTGAAGTATCATTTTTACATCACTAAATTTGCAGACCTATTTGTTAAATTCAGCTAAGGAAATTTATTAAACATCCTTAGCTGAATATTTGTTAAATTCAGCCAAATATTTGTTTAATTCAGCTAAAAGAAAGTTCAGCTGTGAAATGGGTTTGAATGAAGTCAAACATCTCTATTTCTTAAAATTTTGTCTTTTAGCGTAACTGATGGAAAATCATTAAAGAGAAGGTCCATATTAGTTTACGGAATAAAATTTCCCTCTTTAGTTAAAGTTAGTTTAGTTACAATTAATACAAGTTTTAGTTAAAATTACATATTTAGTTTCAGTAAAATTAATACAAATAATTCAAGAAATTATATTTCATGAGGGAGAAACACGTACCAGAATGAATGGTACTTGCTTAGAAAAGAGATTAACTAGATTATATTATTAAGAGATTTTAATTGTACAAAATAAGTGTCCTTATAGTGTGTGTCTATTTCAGGTGACGGCTAGCGTGTTAAGAAACCTCTCTTGGAGGGCGGATCCTGCGAGTAAGAGAATGCTTCGTGAAGTGGGTGCCGTCACGATGTTGGTGAAGGCATCGATGGAAGCCGAAAAGGAATCAACATTAAAAAGTATTTTGTCCGCTCTTTGGAACCTCTCAGCACATTGCAGCGCTAATAAGGCTGACATTTGTCACGTAGACGGAGCACTGGCCTTCCTCGTCAGCACACTCACTTATAAAAGCAAATCCAAAACTCTCGCCATCGTGGAAAACGGTGGAGGCATTCTCCGAAACGTGTCCAGCCACATCGCCATACAGAACGACTATCGCGTCATCCTCCGTAAACACAATTGCCTTCAAATTCTCCTTCAACACCTCAAGTCTCCTAGTCTTACGGTGGTCAGTAATGCTTGCGGCACCCTCTGGAATCTTTCCGCCAGGAACGCCGTCGATCAAAGAACACTGTGGGAAATGGGTGCAGTCGGTATGCTAAAAAAACTCATCAATTCAAAGCACAAGATGATATCCATGGGCAGTTCGGCGGCTCTCAAAAATCTACTCTCCGCCAAGCCGTCTGGTGTCGGCTTCTGTGTCTACGGAGAAAACTACAAAAGCAGCGATGATGCGCCTTCTCTGATGGTGCGCAAGCAAAAAGCCCTCAACACCGAATTAGATGAAAACTTGACCGAGACCTACGATATAACGGACAGTCCAAAAACAAGTCCAGTGAAGCAAGCGAACACTACCGACAAACAAAACAGAACACGGAGACACATATCTCCGTCAGCCCGCTACATGACGAATCAAAAACTTAAAAACGAACTCAGTTTACCTAACAGAAATATCAATGGTTACGGTTTAAACAATTCGGTTGTAGTCGAGGAGAAACATAACGGAGCTTTTCAGGTGACAAAGAATGCGAAGCAAGCCTTAAGTTACAAACAAAATCAAAATAAAAACCAGCAGAGTGGGGAAGTGACTCAGCCGGACAGGAAACCATCAGACACTGAAAGCGGTCTAGTTTGTCCTAGTGGGGAAAATAATAAGCATTCCTTTTCATCTACTCAATATAATGTACCAAAAGTCAGTAGTTCAGACAATATAAACAACAAATGTATGAAAAAAGAAATCACTAGCGGTCTCCGAAATGTAAACATTCCCTCACAACCCGAGTCTTCCCAACAATCTGTGCAGAAACCTATCGTGATTGAGAGCAAAATACCCCTTCCGAAATCCTTCATTCCCCAACGAAGTCAGAGCTCATCCCCTGTGGCTCAGAGAAAATCAGCTTCTCAAGCAGAAAACCATTCGAAACAGACTGTTGACATAAACATCACCCACCCTAAGCGCGCGTGGACCTCGAACGTGGAAAAGGAGGACAATGAACCTGAGCAGGTCCCTGTCAACTTCAGCAAGAGACAAGGTAAGGAACACGTCAAAGAGGGACACAAACTATTCGTGTCTCGAATTCAGGAGTGCTCAAGTGAGGTGCTACACAGGACAGAGAGTGCGCCGCCACTCTCTCACTGTGATTTGGACGAGGGCATCACGGGAGATGGACGCTGCTCCCTTAATATCAAAACGAATACAGGAGTGAGGATGATCAAAAACCACCCATTATTGGTGAATGCCAGTAACTATCGGGGCGATGAAGGAAATGATTTTGAATCACGCTACTTACAGAAGCACGATCATTATGGAGACATTGAGAGAGGTATGGTATTTTCCCCATTCACAACCAATTTTTAAAAATAACACATAAACTCATTTTCTCTTTCTGTTTTAAAAGGGAAGACGGTAGACTTTTCCGTTCAGAGTGACTATGAAATTGATGAAACTTTGTCGATGATGTCCAGAAGTAGCTCAATGGCGTCCATTAGCAGTTTTGATCAACAATCCTTGGCTGACGAAGAAAGTTTCGCCAGTGATCTCAGGTTGTTTATTCAACTCATTTGGTTCCATTCGTTCATTGAATCCTTTTTATGCCCTATTGCAATCATACCCCTAAAGTTCTTATTTTTGGTATTGTAACCAAAACCTCTATACCGAAAGGCGAATTCTTCGGCGATACTTAAATCTTTTGAGGTTCAAAGTTACGGAATGTAACCTAAATCCATTTTGTAGTTTCTGTGAAGTTGGCGTACTATTGGTGTAAAGTTGTAGAAAATTATTTTGACGTTTTTATTAAACAAATCATTCCATCAGGATAAAAAGTAAATTACAAATAATTATGTTCTTGACTTGTTTTAGCGAATCAAATTTAATATAGAAATGGGTCGATATACTTACCTTTATCACTATTAAGGCTTATAAACTTATGAAATCTAGTTTGGAACTTAAAAGCTCAGTTCAAAAACATAAATAACATTCATTTTAAGACAGTTATGTCAAGACAGTACCTTTTTCAAAAATCGAACTTTATTTTTTTATTTTCTGCAAGCCTATATAGCATGTTAAATTATTTTCCGAAATTCGAACATTTGTAGGAATTGCAGCCACCAATGCAGAGTTATGTCACTGGTTGAAAAAACTCATTTTTAAACTTGAAATGTTTTTGTCTTTCTTTTTTTCATTTTGTTTTATTCAATCTAGAAATTTGAAATTTATTTTGAAACTTATCTTCAAAAGACTAAATTTCAAAAAATATTTTCAACGCGTTTAAAGTTTCAGCACGTTTTCCACAAGTTAAGTAAAAGCGCAAAAAGATTCGATTTCTAAAAAAGTTTAAAATTGCGACTTCTTAATGGTTCTCACTGTGCTTAAATGAGAGAGGGCAAAAAAAATTAAGAAATAAAGCTAAGGAATTAACAAAATGATGTACTAAGAATAATTTTCGATTACTTTAATTGTTAGGTAAATTTAATGTTTCATATTTTAAATTTTTCCTTACTATAAGGCCAATTTTTTTTTCTAATTTGAACAGTTGATTTTTTTTATTTAATTAAAACGTTGCAAAGATGATTACATTCATCAGTCACTTATAAAATGTAGAATTTTGAAAAATACAAATTCTTCCTTTTTTTTCCTTCAAAATTCTCTTATTAGGTTTTGCTATGTATTTCCAACTTCTATGAGGATTTTTCCCTTTTGCTTCAAATAATGTGTTTCCGTCCCCTTCATAAATTTATTCCCAGCCCATAGCCCTTTCTTTTTTTATTCCTTTTTTCTCTTATATCTAATAACCATAATTTGCTAAAAATCTTCCCCTTAACTATGATTTTTAGTCTTTTTTATTAACTTTTTATGCAAAAAAGATTATAATGCGAGTTTTTTCCATAATTTTATGCTTGTTTTTTATCGAGCGAAAATAGACCCCCGAATGTTTTTAAAGACCTTACCAGTCTCAATTTTAAAGCTTTTGATGTTCGAATTTTATACTAATTAATTTTTAAAAAAATTAAAATTTTTAAAATTCGAAGGGGAAATAAATCCTCTCAAGGATTGGAAATATGTTTGTTTGTTTTTTCAGACATAGCAAGACCTGACTGGAGAATTTTTATAAAATTTCAAACCTCTATTAATAATTCTCTCTATTTCTTTCGTTGAAGTACTGAGTGAGTCATCATTCCAATGCAAAATTCTATTTTTCCGAGCACTTAATTAATACTTAACAGATTTTATAGGCAGTTTGCACTATTTTTCAAATATGTAATCAGAAATTTTTTATCTTAAATAAAAAAGTTATCTGCAAAAGAAACAGGTTCTTTCAGTTTTTTTCAGTAGAAAGAAATATTTACAGGAAAAAATGTTTGCCCGTAAAATGCATATTCGTTTCCTGTACGCCAAAAAACATAAGTAAGCAAAAAATAAAGAAACTCCAGCCAATTTTTTCACGTAAAATCTTCCATTGCCTGGACAAATTGACAGGAAGTAATTTGTTAACATAATTTATAAAAATAAAAAAAATTTGAAAAAGAAAAGAAAAAAGGCGAGGATATGAATTTTTAAAATAGATATGAATAAATGAATGATCGGATAAATAAATGAATTATAAGATCACGCACCTTTCAGTAAATATTAAGTCACGGAGCCAAATTGCCTCAATGAGAAAAGAATTACCTATTTATAAAGTTATCATGCAGTTTAAACATATCCAAGGTTTAACACAAATCTATTATTTAAGTTTACTTCCAAATCGTTATTTCTCGTAATCGTTATTTCTTCTTTTTCTACTAATGATCTATTTAATTTTTGTTTAATTTCCTATTATAATTAAGCTATTCAAGACATAAACGCTGTTTTTCGAAGCTCTGTCGCCAAGGAAAATAAAAAAAAAAGCCATAGTTTAAGTGCTTGAAACAATGCAATGATTTTAAACTATATATCTAATCTTACCGTGAAGAATTATCTAGACTTTAGAACAGAAAGAAAAACTTAAATATTTTGAAAGTTATTAAGCTCTTTTAAAAATCACCAATTTGGCGACCTTTTTCCCCCCTGATGAAAATTATGAAAATCCCTACCTTCTTCTTAATTTTTGCAAATTTTTTTGAGCCCAAGTAATAGAGCATTGGACTAAGTTTTTAAACATTAAAAAATTAAGCCACAAAACGCTTTTTATTTTCACAAAACTGTGACTTTTCTCCATATTGATGTTTTGACTTTAGTCCTACCATTTTCGAAATAAGCGTAGACAGCTCTGGCTTTAGATAAGCTATGCTTGATCGAAAAGTCATGAGTAACAGTTGCTAATTCACAACAGCTATCAAAATAGCATATTATTCTCAAAAAAGCATCATTTCATATAACGACGGAGCCTTCAAAACCAGCCTTAACTATTCAAAAGAAAACTTGTCTCATGTCGACCTTGGCAATCCACGGTGGAATTCTCAAAATGACAGCTAGTGTTTTTACCTTGAAAGTAGTGTAGGTCTAACTAGCAAAACTCTCACAGCTTCGGAAACAGGCTGTCATCCATCATAATAGTGCAATTCAGCTTATCATGAATTTTGAACAAAAGTCCCAGTCTTTAATTCCACCATACTAAATATTCATAGGTGTCCAAATTTTTATAAGTTGTGTAGATTAATGAGCCTAAAGATGATATTACCCTGAATTGTTTTTGTTCCATTGTTCTCTCTATTATTTTATTCTGTTCCCATTTTCACGTATTAAGTGCCAATCTAAATGATTTAAACGTTTGGCTTCAAGTATACTAATTAATAAGTGCTGACCGATTATTAAGTTAAAAATCAAGCACGAAAACATGCCTTCTCTGAAAATGCTTAGAACAGATAGGGTTTATCAACCATCAAAACAAGATCTATCGCAATCTGGAAATTAATCATATTTTCCCTTTTTTGCGTATTTCACAATGTATAAGAAATTTTTGAAGTGAATTAAAAACTTTCAGCCCCCAATTTAAAACTTCGTCTATCAAAAAATAGTTCTCTGAAAATCTTTTCTTAACAATCGTTTATTGTCTTTTACTTTTTACCTAATTACAATTGAAAAAATTTACACTTTCAAATATGCAAATTTTTACATTATTTTAAACTATGTCATTTTAAAAAGAGTTCGAGCGAAAGCGGTTAAATAATTTTTTTTTAGTCAAAAAGTCGTTTTTTTAAATTTTCATTGAATTTCTCAAATTGTAATGATAAAACCGAAGCAAATGTTAATAAGTTTGAACTTATTGATTTCATTAGAATTCTTTTCAAGAGTGTTGAGTACCATCAGTTTAAATAATGTTTAAGAGTATGATAATCAGATCAGAAAAGTCTTTCATCATTTTACACTACGTTTTTACTATCAGCACCGTCTTATGTGATCCTTTTGCTCGTGTGAACATGAACTGTGTGAAAATTGCATATCTGGAGCTCGTTACATTTACATTTAAAGATTTTATTCCTCATAAATATTTCCAACTCTTAATTTAATTTATTTTGAAATTTCAGCCACAGAAGTAGCGATATTGAGTCACCAAGTGAATTATCTGAGTGTCAAACAGCACCCTCCAGCCCAGTAAAAACTCAGGAAACAGGCAGAGAGGCAATCGAACACTCGAATCACACAGTAAGTTTACAGGTTCTCGAATCAGTCTCGTTATTACTTTCATTCGTCTATTTCGATATAGACATTCCATCCTATTTCATACTTTTTTAATTACGGTGGTTATGTTTCAATGGCCCTAAATATAACTTTTTTAGTTTATTAAATTGTTTACTTATTATTTCCAGTGACATAATACCAGAAATTTTAAATGATTATTAAGTATTTACAAATTATTAAGTGTGGGAAGAAAGAAATTGAGTTTTGTTTTTAACTCCTTTTATCCCCCGATCTATCAATGACGCAACTGTAGGGCAACCACCTCCCTAGCATTCTAGTTCAGAAGTAAACGTTTTATGTGGGGGGGGGGGAATTCGCTAAACTACTGTTTTTTTTTTCAACGACAAAAATCACAATATTTCAATAACAAATAACTAAATAAATAAGGATTGCTGTTCTTCACGTGGTGCAATTAGGAAACTCTTTTTCAAGAAATTTCTACCTTGTAAAAAAAAAAATATTTGAAAAGTAGCGAAATGTTAGCAGTAAAAGTTATTGAAATAGAAATGAGGATCATTACAACTATATCGAAATGTTTTCATATTTGGCACTTTTTTAAAACTTCAATATCGAAAAGAGAGAAACAGAAATGGCAAAGGAAGAAACGTTCGTTAAACCAAAACGACAATGAGGCCGAAATGGCAGTACCGTTTCGCCCCACTTCGTTTGAATCTATTTTAACTCAGGGTTTTTCTACAGTTTTATTACCGAAATCGTTTCATTGTAAATTATTCGTTCACTGGACATTATGGTATCTATCTATCTATCTATATATATATANTATATATATATATATATATATATATAAAAGTTTATCCCCGTAACTGCTAACATCCGAACATGAAAATCCAAACGTTAGATCAAAAGCTATTTGTACAATTTAACACTATATTTTTTCCTTTTCCTCAGATGGATGATCAAGATCAAAGGGATGATGCTGAATGTGATGAAGAGAGGATACTTCCGACATCCGGTGTAGACGTATCGACTCCAGAACTGTCAGAAGTTAGCCAGGGAGCACGACAGAAAACCTTCCAGGAGAAGCATCCAAAAGTAAACACTTTTGATGGAGGACGCGTAAAGCTCAAAAATCTAGATATCAAAGACGGAGACATCGACGTTTTTTCAGACAACGAGGAAAAAGGGAAAGAAGACGAACGAAAGGCTGAAAAGACGAGGTTGTTCAGGATACCAGAATCTCCCGTCGACAAAAAGGGTTCGACAACAAATGGAACGGATAGTGGGTCAATCAGCAAATCTGATGACATCGTGAATGCTAAAGTAATAGTTGACGCAAAAGGAAACAGAAGACATGACAGGCAAGTGAAATCTATTCGTGGTGATGCTGAATCAGTGACGAATCATTTGAGCTTTTTAATGGGTCAAAATAGGAGCGGCGATCCTCTGGATGTGCAGCAATGTGTTTTTAGTCCCGAAGATTTTACAATAGCTTCCCAACTGGACGAAAGCGAAAATCAAGAAATGTCTGTGAAAACTGAGGACTCTGACAACAGCTATTTTACTTGTTATACGGAAACTCTGTCTTCTGGAAAGGACAAAGATCGCAGATCTGATACATCAGACAATTTTCAAACATTGAATGATTCGCCTTGTCCACATGAAACCTCTAAACCAAAGTCTTCCGAAGAAGTCTCAGAAAAAGACATTGATTGCAGCGAAAGAGATGAAGATGACGAAACTATGATTAGGTCGAGCATTTTAGATGAAGCTAAAGAAATAGCTCAAGCTCTGTTGGGAGCTAGAGTGGACAGCACCGAAGACATGACGGTCAGCACTCTGAGTTGCCTTTCAGATATTGATGGGGTTAGACCCCCGTCTGTCATGGCAGAAATAGGCTGTTTGAGTATGAATAGTAGCACAACGTCTGAGGAAAATCTGAAAATAGCTGTCACTAAAGAATGCCAAAAATTATTTGGTGCAAAGCATCTGAAAAAATCTCTATTGAGAGAACTTCAAATAGGTCGTCTCGCAACAGATTTCGGTACAGGTGATCTTTCTAAGGGATCGAACGATTCTGGCGAGAGAAGCAGCTGTGGGTCAGAACTTTTGGGAAACATCAACCCACCTTCCATGCTAGACGAAATCTCTCTCACAGCCAGTCTCGAAGGTTCAGAGAATGAACAACAGCGCAACTCAGCGAAGGTGTATAGAAACGATAGTATGTCGGAAAGGATGAATGATGCCGCAGCCATTACAAAACTTTATGCCAAAGAACTCTCGCAAATCACGAAAAATGCAGACACTCTGTCTGATGACTTGGTTTTAAATATGAAGATTACTTCAGTTGTGCCAGAAATCACGGAGGTAACGATCGCGGATGTCACCGAGATTGGCTGCGATACGATTGGTTCTGATACCGAAGATGATCTGCCTTGTGACGAGGAAGAGTTTGAGTCAGAGGACACTCCAACAAAAAGAAAAGAAGAAGATAGTTTGGAGAATTTGACTCTCACCGAAGAACCACCAGTCATCGATCAGCAGAACATCTGCTTCATGACAGCCGATCAATTAAAAGCTCTGCAGGAGAACGCTGACATGATCCTCAACACTTTGAGAGACGTCGAAATCTCTGACGAAGAGATGGGTGGAGTCTCCAATGGAGATATGCTGGAAGATGAAACTATGTCTCTCGTCTCCAACGAATCTGATGAAGAATTATTCCTGTCTCCAGACACACAGCAAAAGGGAGTTTCACCAAAGCCTTCATCGGATTGCGTGCTGTCTCCAACCTACAATGGTATGGTCGCTCTTCCTCAGAATGCATGCAAATTATCTTCGAAATATTCCGTCAGGAAATCATCGCTCCCTCAGTTCTCCCCTCGTAAGAAACCCATTCCTCGAGGAGAACAGCAGCAAACAGTCGTCCCCAGCGGAAGTTTTGATACAGAAGGTGGTGTATTTGACACTAGAACTTTCACAAGAAAGAGATCAAACATTCCGAAAGACTTAATTCCATCTATTCCAGTAAGTTCACAGTCTGAAACAAACTCACCCAGTAGTCCAAAATATATCAATTCAAAACCAGAAGTAAACAAGCCAGTTCCCAGCAGAATAGTCGGAATATGGAAAAACTCTGGAAAAGTTCGATCGAAAAGTGCCGCTGACATCAGTCGTGGCTCCAAACTTCAAGCGTTGACGTCTGGAAATAACTTAAGCAACTTTAACAAAGATGAAGTCAAGAATAACGGGATGACCCCACAAAGGTAAATATTGAAAAAAAATAATAATAATAAACAGGTAATTGAAGAAACAAGTAAACATGATTATGATTAATTAGTCAAATAAAATTAGGCGAAACGAATTGACATAACTTTATTAATAATACTCATGAAAATACCACAGTTTAGTCAAACATTGTATTCCAGTTCATGTTCCTTCAAATTTTTTTTTAGTTGTAAAAGTATTTGCAAAATTGTATTTCCTCCACAACGACTTTGGTCAAGTGCAACCAAAATCTAATAAATCTAATTTAGTTTTAAGAGTTATTTTTTGATTTATAATTATTTAAAGTGTTAAGAACAGTGAAATAATTGCATTTTCAATTATGAAATTAAATAAAAATGATGATGCTTAAAAATTACCGAAATATAAACAATTGGATCAGCAAATGAAAAAAATATAATATAAGTGTAATAGCATAAAGTAGTATTAAATTTAAGTATCTAATTCTGTTTCAAAACGGATGTAAAATTTTTGGAGTAATTGGAATTGATGTTATGCAAACAAGTATGGAAAGTTGTTGCCAAATAAAATTACATAAATTTAGCTTAATATTGTTGTATACATTCATGGCAAGAGGGAGTCTGTGCTTTTAAAAATAAATATCACATGATTTTTTTAAAAAAAATGTTAATGATAAGAATTTTGTTAAAATATATAATTAATGAATTAGTATTGTTTTTATTTATTTATTTTTTTAAAATTTTATTTATTTAATAATTTATTTTTTTCTTAATTTTATTTATTTAATAATTTATTTATTTTACTTATTTATTTTATTTATTTAATTAATTTATTTATTTTATTTATTTAATTATTTTATTTATTTTACTTATTAATTTTATTTATTTCTAAATACTTATTTTATTTTATTTTACTTATTAATTTTTAATTTAATTTATTTTACTTTTTCTAATTTTGTTTATTTTGTTTTATTTATTTATTACTTTATTTATTTATTATTTTATTTATTTTTGTAACAAAAAACGCGTCCCTATCCTCTAATCAGCGACAGAAGTGAATCGATAAAACAGAATCTGTAACTAACAGCGTATAGGAAGATTGCTTAAATTGTACCACTTTTCACATTTAAATTTTTATCAGTTATGAATCACTGACAGCTACATTTGAAATATTTTAATAATAAAATACCTATCATATTTTTTATATTTATATTACTTTTGGTAATAATATTTAGGCAGTAAGTACTGAAAATTAATCAATTTCATGAGGTCTGCTAGTGATACGATTCAGAAAACCAGTTGCCTGATTCGTACCACCTGATTCCTAAATCAAATCAACATCCAAACTATTTATGATTAAGCAACTAAGTAGACCATATAAAACATTTAAACAATTGTCTAATAACGTAGATATTAAACTTTTTAACTGTTACAAGTGTGCTAACAGTAATATAAATCTATAAAATGTTTATGGAACACAATGCTTTGTGCTACAAAGTGTCCATGGCGAATAATACTCATGATAAATTGTTCTACCGACGAATTGTGCATGCTCATGAACAATTGTTTTCGCGATAAATTGAGTCACCAACGAACTGCCGCCTTAACGAATTGTGAGAGATAAATTGACACAACACAGTGAATTTGTTATTGAAATGTTCAGTACAACATATGCCTAAATTTTAAAAAAACTGCTAATTATTTTAATGGCGCTTTTGGAGCAACAATGGTGCGGGAGGATAGAGCGTTCGTCTTCCAATGAGGTGAACTGGGTCCGAGGTCGATACGAATTCCGCATTCGGGTTCCATCGACCACAGTGCTGACGTGAAATATCCTCAAAGGTAGACGGATCATGGGTTAGAGTCTCCTTGCTGACAGGCTAACCGGTGGAGATTCTCATGGTCTTCCTTTCCATGTAACGCAAATGCAGGTTAGTCTCATCAAAAGTCCTCCACGAAGGCAAATTTCTCCCTATGCTTGATCCAGGAGTTCACTTGTCTTCTGGATTGGGTTCAAAATTACAAGGCTACGTAGTTGAACATTAGTAGTCGCAAACCCAAAATTTGGGTCGGCTGTTCAACAGCGGTTATAAAATATAAAGTAAAATAAAATGGCACTTTTGATGGTTAATAAAACAAATAAGCAACTTTATTAAAATCCAACTGTGCTATTATTAATAACACGAATCAATAAATTTTATTTTTAAGGGTTTTTTCGCCAAAATAAGACGAACTTTAACTGTTATGAATTCAAGTTAAAAGAATACTGAGATCAGACAGCAAACAATATATCTAAGAGAAAAAAGTAAATTTAAAAAGAGTAATTAAATTTAAGAATAATAATTAAACTTAATGGGGCTGTTCAAGAACTGGCAGCGTAAACAAGTAAATAAGCATTAACGTTAAAAAGTTAAAATCAGTCTTTACATTGACACGTTTATTCGATAATTAAAATGAACTTTCGATTACCAATCACGGGCGGGATTTCCTGGAGAGTAGGGTGTCGAGCCTATGTTCCAGAGGTCATGAGTTCGATCCCCACCGGTTGAAAACACCCTGTGTGCAAAATATTGACTGGTATACGCTCTATCAGTCGAAGTCCTCCAAGTTCCAATTACAAATCAATAATTCTGGAGGTTCGGAGATTGATCGTGCTCTGGTTCAGGTCAAAATTATGATCTGTGGATGGATGGATGGAGTGTGAATGTGTCCTCTCTTTAAAACAGGATGTGACGAGTTTTATATTGTCTTCGGATCACCCTCAGGGACACTTCCCAGACCGTCGTCAATAGCTCATTGTGCATCTCTAGAGCGACGTAAATAAAGGAAAGAAAAATGACTACTAATCAGTTATATTTCACTTTTTTATGCCAAAACGAAATAAATTTTGCTGCAAAAAAATTTATGTTCGTAACATTTAGACCCAGTATTTAAGACATAACTGATCTAGACCTTAAATGTGAGTACATAAACATATAGTCTTATATTTAATGTATCTAGCCGCTAGTGGTGCCAAACCTCACGCCTTTGAAAGTTTGGATTGCATTATTAGTTTTATGATATTTCCATTTATAGGATAGTTATATATAGGATAGTAGTATGTAAGATAGTAGTATATAGGATAGTAGTATGTAAAAGATAGTAATATGTAGTAATGTTTTGGAGAATTAAAAATTTCATGATGTTAAAAAATTGTAATTATTATTTTTTGGTAACAAAAATCTCATCATAGGAGTTTAATACAAAGAAATATATAAAGATGAGTTTCCACTTTAATGCTAGATAGCGCTCTGTTTTTTTTTTNTTTTTTTTTTTTTTTTTTTTTTTTTTTTTTTTTTTTTTTTTTTAAATCTATGTTTTCTAAAATGGCATCAGTGTGCCCGAAGCAGTTTTAGCACCGTACTACGGCAAAAAGCCTAACAATTAGTTAGAATGATGATATGTTGAGTTAATCATTATATTTTATTATTTTTATTTGAATTTGTAAAGTTCTTTATAATCGTTTGGTCATTTTATGTTTTGGGAAATTTCATGTTTATTTTTAAATGCACAGTAAGAACAAATTTCAAACTGCTAACATAAGCTCACACAATTCAATCTTAATTCAATGATCTTGATTAAAATGAAGCGTAAAAACTTTACTTTAAAACAATAAATCACAAAGAATTATGATTTATTCATTTGTGTTACAAACATAATCGTACGGAAATAAATAAAAATCGAACAGAAGGACTGAATAATAAAACGTAGAGTGTCAACTATTCACATGTTCTGAATTAACTTACTTTTTCCGTTAAGTGTTGCTAGAGAGCGCTGTAGACAGTTGATTCAAGCGAAACTTCGAAAAACGCGTCGTGATGACGTCAGATTGGATCGTCTTTAAGTATTATTGTTCAAGGAGTTTAACAATTTAAAAACATCTTAAAATGGAAAAGCAGTTTGGAAGAATAAAATTAGCCATATTTTTGTTTAAAATTACTAGTGATGATTAAATATAGTATTTCCTTAATTTTTGATAACTTATGTTTTTCTGCGTATTTGTTTCTAGTATATTATTATAGTTTGAATCTCATCTTGTTGTTTATTAATGGCTGAAACATCAATTAGCAATCAACAAATATCAATTATCTTTTAGAAATCATATTTTGGAATAAACGGTGCCCCCCCCCCTTTAAATTGTACTACATTTCAATCCATTAGTTCGAGAAAAAACAAATTTTTTTGCTGCTAAAAAAATTATTTTTTCAATCCGTAAACAAAAAAAATCATTCTAAATATTTATAAAGATTTCAGAAATACTCTCTCGAAAACCAAATTCTTTTAATTTATTTTTTTAAATTAGTGAAATTATAATCAGTTTTTCATTGCGGGCTGCGCAAATACAATTATAAACAAATTTAAAGTAAAAGAAAACTTTGTTAGAAAATTCAATTTGTTCACTGCAATTTGATTGAATAGAAAAAAATCGTTTTAATGCTGTTCTAAAATAATCCCAAATCCCATAGTCTTTCTAAGATGGGATAACAGTGAGGACAAACATGATTTCATTACGAGGGTTAGTTCATGATTTTCAAGCATGAATCATAAATGTTATAAAAATAATCCCATTTATCTTTTCCATCGCTCTATATTCGTTTTATTATTAAGCTATTATTTTTAATCCTGTTTGTGAATCTTCGCCGAAATTTTTTAAGAACTTATTTTAATCTAATTTTGTGTAGTATTAATTTAATCGTAAATGAATCGTTCAATTGTAAACGATGGTTCAACCTTTTTCAGATTTGCTTATTTAAAGTGAAAATAATTACTTTAACTTGAAGTTATAAGCAATACATTTTATACTTTTAAATTACCTCTCAATAAAAATATAAATAAATAAAATTTTATTTAACAGAAAGCACTTTTCCCGCAGAGGTCATTTTTTACATAAAAACGTTATTGTTTCTAAAATAGTTTGTCAGTTAAGCCTGAGTCAAATGTTATTTTCATTTGTATTTTTTTAATATTTTGAAAGCTCTTAACGAGCTTTGCAATTTAATGACTGATCTATTAAAGAAGATAGAAGAACACCTTAAAATTTTTGTCAGAAATCAAATAAATTTTTATTATTTTAATTCTACCTTCCTCAATCGTGTTTCTTCAGGTTTTTATGAAGTTCTCTTGGAAATATTAATTTATGGATCCCTAATTGCACACTTCTTTTACTCTTGACAATAATTTAAAGAATATATACTACGGTATGGACCGTACGGATACGATATACAGAATCTGAACTCCAAATCAGTGTAATAATAGGTGCAATCTTTGCTGCCTCAAAACTCACTGACTTTTTTAAAAAAATCATATTTCTTTTAAGAGGAAGAAAGTTAGCTATAAAAGTCCTCCACTTAATGTTTTTATATTTCCAACTGGAAAAAATACTTCTATAATTCCGAAAAACTTTTCTTTTCTTTTTTTTCAGCCCGTAAAATATTATTCTTTTTTTTCAGATCCTTTGAAAGTTCAGATCCGACATTCGAAATTGAAGATGGCAAAGGTGTCCGAAGACCGAGTTCCCTTGCCCTCGTCCACCAATCACCCAGGCACCTCCTGAAAGGTCTTCCCCAGAGACAAAAGACGGAAGATTCCAAAAAGGCAGTCCTGTCTCCAAGTGGCTCCAACATTCCGAAAAGTTTCATTCCCAGTCGTCGATCTTTCATTCCGACTCCAGCTAAATTAGGGGAGAACTAAAGAACTCTGTCCTCCGAATCATTGTGTGCCTCATTCTTACAGAATAGTAACTAGTCTATAACTGTATATACTCGGAAAAATTTCATTTAGTTCCTACCTCCTCTTCTCTGCATTTCCAGGATGTGAAACAGATTATTCGATAGATTCCTCAAGAAATGATGTGGAATCTTTTCTGCTTGTCCTCAAAAGCAAGTTTTTACAAGATTTGGTGCTGTTGGTGCACAAATGAAAGTTAAAATAACTGGCATATACTAGTTTGTGTGCGCGTAATTTCCTTTTCAATTACAATTTTGTTTGCTTTAAAAAAAATTGCGTATTTCCTTATAAGGCGAAGTGTTTCTTGTGAAAAGAAGTGTTTGCTATTACATTCGAATTTTTTTTAAGATTCGTGATTTTGTTGTTGTACTAAAGCAAAACAAAAGTTAAGCAAACTGCTCTCATATCATTTTTTTAATTGTTATTATTATTATTATTTTCACACTTTTAGGCTGTACACCAACAGGATTCGCTATTTAAGAATTTCAATTTTCCTTCCAAGGAACTTATGAAAAAACCTTTATCACTAAAGTGAATGAAGTAGTCGGCCACACACTTCGGTTTGCCTACTACTACTTCTTGGGGATGGTGCTTCTTGGAAAGAAAAAGTGTATTCGTTGTATTATAAATCCCTACCCCATTATTTAATCTCATTCGATACTATAATTATTAAATCTATAGCAAATGAAGCATCCTTATTATTAAAAAATAAAGTTGTGTAGCCTATTAATCTGCATCTATAGTTTCGAATTAGGAAATCCCTTTGTGCATAAAAGTCCAGTTTATAATCAAAAGGTTTGTAAATCATATTCAGGTAAAATATTTACTTCTCTATTCACTTAAAGGGCAAAACAATCGGCTTAATTTCTAGACAGAGAAAAGCAAAAACTTTTGAATCAGAAATGCAAAAATGCGCTGTGGTAATCTCAAGTAAAAATAGAATCCTGAAATGGACATTCTAAAACACTCTTTTAGGCCCATCTTTGAAATTTTTTAGGGAAGTCGACAAAACTACAATAAAATTTGATAGTTCGCCACTACCAAAATGTGTTTTTGAATTAAAGGAAATATCATATATTACGGTGCATAAGTCGACTTTTCAGGGCCCGAAAATTTTACGAAAATCAGGGGGGGGGGGGTCAAATTATGCTGGAAATAAAATCGGACATTCGTTGATCTTGAAATATAGATGCATTACAAACATTGAGATAGATGTTAATAACTCAGTATCTATTTATCCTTTAAATCACTATTGTTAATGTGTTATTTACATTTATTTTCTCGCTTTCTCCCATCAAATTTTTCTCTACATATGAAGGTTGTTTTTGAAATAATACTATAAACTTAGAAATTTTTCTTAAGTATTCAATTTCTGAAATTTTTATATTTTGTTTTTTTCCAGCAATCAACTTATATCCACGACATACCAGAAATTTCGTAATCAGGGGGTAGACTTATATACCGAGATATATGTTGTACATATATATAAAAATAACTTATACCATAAAAAGAAACCAAATGAAAACGAACTTTAAGGAACAGAAAATTTAGAAAAAGTAGAGGTTTTTCTCAGGATGCGCTACTTTGCAATTTATTTTGAACTAAAAAACAATTATCACAAAATATACGATACGAAGATTAGATATATAAGATATATTCATATGTCAATACCTTAAAAAACATAATGGGAATTCGATTTTAAAGAAGAAAGACAAAAAAAAAGGAAAAATTACTTACCAGCACAACTGCTACGTGCTGCCATACTAAAAAAAGTTAAAACTAGTTTGACCTGTCTAAAACTTACTAATAATCCTAAATGGACGAAAAATTTTGATAGCTTACATGGCATTAATGGCAAAGTTAGTACTCTAGTATTTTAAATTTAGGGCTGTCATTTAAGAAAAAGTAAAGGTTGATATAGAATAATCTGACTAAACCAAAATTTAAAAAAAGAAATTGAAAAGAAATAAAAAAATTTCATGAAATAAAATTTAAATACATGCAATGAAAGAAAGTATTTTTTTATTTAGAACAAATTTTAGAGAATGTATTTTTTATTTATTCAATTTTAGAAAGGAATTTATCCATTTATCTGCATATCTATCTAAGATATATATCTGTAGCTAAAAGAAAATAACCACAAAGACAAATTCTTTACCCTATTAATCCCCTTTCATGGCGAGAAGTAAAAACTAATTTATTAAGAAAGAAGATTCTGATCATGTGCAATTCTTTAAAGGTGTTATTTATTCATTGATTTCATGTTTATGTTCAATAATAACTTTCATTCTACTTTTTACTATGTGTGTATATAGTGTACAGTCAATGTTAGGGGTAATTTTATTAAAAGAATGACGAATGGCATTTTTCACTCATCCGTATCGTTAAAGAGTAAAAAGACTCATGTGATGAGATATGAACTGAAATAATGTTTGTGTATGGAATGTAGCGAGTGAAACATATTTATAATATAAATTATAGTTTATGTATGAGTTGTTCAAATGACGTATTTGAATGTACTTGATGATGATTTACGATAAAAGTATTGCTGTAAAAAACACATTCCTTATGATGTCAATAAAGATATTTCAAAGTAAAATTTGTTTTTATCATTTAAACTCGACAACAGGAACGTCACAAGAAAAAGCGAGCATTTTTTTTTCTTCTCAACATCGTCAATTTTTTATGTTCACAAAGAGGACAGTCGATCACCAATAATTGCTCATAATGGACGACGAAAAAAATTGATCTTAGGGGATTTCAGTGTTACCCTAACTCTATGCAGTTTTGTATTGAGTAGATTCTATAAAACTTGTAAATCGAAGAAGAAAAGGAAAACAATCCTTTTTTTTCAATAAATTTAAATTTTCCCGATTTCGGAGAAAAGAAAAGACTTCCACTATTCGACACATCATCCTTTAAAACTTTTAAATGTCTATTAATACTTACTTGTGAAACATTCGTAGTACTTGTCTAAACTCTTAAGATTTCAAAATACTACACTTTATCACCAAAAGGATTGATTAAAAATCTTCACAGAACTTTAAAAGCCTGTACGCTAGACAGGATTTCTACTTTCAATACTTTTATGAATTCGGTCAACTTTGAAGGAAGATATAAATTCCACTATAGCAAAACTTGTACATAGAACATCACTAAGACTTCCCAGATAGTTTCTTGCGCTACAAGAACAACAACATACATCAGAATTTAATTCGAACTTTAAAAAGTTCATAGAAAAACTAAAGCAAATACAATCAGTCCAATCATTCACAACAGCATTAAATCATTCATAACGTGCAATATTTATTCATAAGGATTTGGAAAATTGGAGTCACATATTTGTTCACATCGACAAAATTAAACCAGCTTTACGTTTTCCTTATGAAGGACCATGCTTTATCAAAAACTATTACTAAAATTTTATATATTATCCATTAAAGGTCAAGACATGAATACGGCTAAAAAAATTATTATTTTTGTCCAAAATATTTAAAGAAACTTTACAACTAAACTTTTAGATAAGTCTCACGAAACTTAATTATTTTCTTTTTCTACTTTAATCTGATCATTTTTTGATGCAATTGGCTCTACTAAAAATCCTCATCTGAAACTAAATTATCTGCATCCGTTAATCAACTAAAGAAATACACTTGACATTTAACAATGTTCTCTTTTAAATTCACTTAGTAACCAGACCAACTCACACACGCACAAACGTTTTTCAGTGAAAACTTGCTGCAAATTGAAAAATTTAATCGAAGTTATGAGTGAAGAAAGACAAATATAAATGCACACAGAAATATTTATTTCATTTCTTATAAAACTAAGCTTGTTTCATTGTTTAGATTTTGATCATTTCCTTGAAATGCAGGGTCATATATATTTATCCATCAAAAATTTCTTCCATATCTGCAAAAAAGAAAATTTTTGATGTATATTATTTTTCCTTACGTATATTTTATTGAATATAGCATTAAAAGTAGCGGCAAATGAAAATTTAAGGAGTGCTACTGTGATACGGAAAATAGTAAAACATGGAATCAAAGTCTTAAGAAAAATTATTCTACAACACATAAGTTGGAAGAAATCTGGTTTCATAACTAAGGCTAGATCTATGTTCCATAATTAAGTAAATGATAAATGGTAATTGAAAACTTTCAGAGTGTGCAGGGTATTCTCATTGCTTACCAGATTTTTTTTCCTTAAACTGTTCGAGAGTGGTATTGTATTAACGTTTAATGCGCAAAGAAATTTCTATACTTAACATCGCATTTTTAATCATTTTAATTTATCTTTTATTTTATAAACAGTGTTGAGACCCGACAAATTTTTGGGCTTACGGCCATTAATGTTCAACTCCGTAGCCTTTTAATTTTGAATTGAATCCAGAAGACAAGAAAACTTCTGAATCCACATTAGGGCAAACTAGCTTTCGTGGATGACTTTTTAACGGGACTAAACAGAATTTGAGTTACTTTTTGAACGGTCAGAAAATTCTAAACTATGATATATTTACCTTATAGGATATTTCGCGACATCAGTGCGGTCGGTATGAATTTGGAACAGAGTTCAAATCAATTAATTATGGTTGGGAGAATCCCTTCTTTAAAAGGAGAAAGTTCTATTCCACGAGTCATAGCGACTCTAAGTTAAGTTATATAACTGATTAAACCTCTTTTTGAAGAAGAAAAAGCTAACAACGTTCCCTTTTCATGGAGGAATTGAACTTTTTTAAGCGTCACCTATTCTCCTTTAAAGACGTAGACCGGATGACGCATGTTTCTTAAACTTTCAGTCTAGTTTTGGGGTAAAGAAAAAACGTGATTACACTATTAGAAATAATAAAAAAAAAATAGTCTCGCCGCGTAAACGTTGTACCAGTTAATGTTCGAAAGACCAGTTCCGGGGACAAAAGCAAATAACTCAATGAGGAAATGCTGGAAATATTTTTTTTAATATTTTAAGATGGATCTAATATGAATATCTGAAATTCGCTCATTTCTCCTAGTTACTACAGTTGAGTCCCCTGCGACTGTCATTCCAGATTTAGTCGACTGTTGGATAAATGTGGGGGCGACTTTTATTCATATTGAACCGAAGCCAAAAACCTAACCTTACCCCAACTTAACCTAAACTCAGCCTTCTCTTATTTATTTTCTTAAAGATTGTAAGAACGTCAAGTGCGCGTTTACAAAATAGAAAAGAAAAAAAAAAGTTGAGGTTTAGATAAAGATGCTTCTTTCTGTTAACACCCACTTCATTTTATACCTTTAGTGCTAATTAGAAATTATTCATTACCAGAAAACAAAAAAGTTTAAATCTACATGTTTAGAAATTTCGAGCCGCGTTGCACCAAAAATTGAAAAATTGTTATTCATTTGCTGGCTACATGAAATGGAGCTTAATTTTGTCATATTTTGATATTTTCACTCGCTCCAAATATCGGAGGATATATATATTAAAATGATGCAGTCGGACCGAGCAGGGAAACAGACACAGGATTTTAATTAAATCAGAGTAACTTTTATTTGATCATTCTTAGTTGAGTGGGAGCGAAGAAGTGATGTTTACTCCATCAGCAAACAGTCTTTCTGGTAGGGAAAATCTTGCAAAAANATTGAATGGCAAAAAAGAGGATCGCCACAGGCACACATTTTGATTTGGCTTATTGAAAAAATCCCACCATGCCAAACTGATCAGATATCAGCAGAAATTCCTGATGTCGCCATAGATCCAATCTTATTTCAGATCATTGTCTAAAATATGTTTCATGGTCCGTGTGCATCACCATACATGTCTGTTTGAAAATGCACTAACGATATCCTAGAGAATTAACTGCTGAGACTATCACTGGTTTTTTTCACCATTAAAAAAATTTGCATTTCAAATCATAATCGCAAATCTCATTTACACACTTAAATACAAAATTAAAATTCAAACTGAAAGCGTTGCAACGCGCAGGGTACAGCTAGTTTCTTATAAAACTAAACTTGTTTCATTGTTTAGATTTAGATCATTTCCTTGAAATGCAGGGTCATATATATTTATCCATCAAAAATTTCTTCCATATCTGCAAAAAAGAAAACTTTTGATGTAAATTATTTTTCCTTACGTATATTTTATTGCATATAGCATTAAAAGTAGCTGCAAATGAAAATTTAAGGAGTGCTACTTTGATACGGAAAATAGTAAAATATTGAATCAAAGTCTTAAGGAAAATAATTCTACAACACATAAGTTGGAAGAAATCTGATTTCATAACTAAGGCTAGATCTATGTTCCATAATTAAAAATGATAAATGGTAATTCAAAACTTTCAGACTGTGCAGGGTATTCTCATTGCTTACCAGATTTTTCTACTAAAACTGCACGAGAGTGGTATTGTATTAACGTTTAATGCACAAAGCAATTTCTATACTTAACATCGCATTTTTAATTATTTTAATTTATCTTTTATTTTATAAACAGTGTTGAGCCCCGGCACATTTTTGGGCTTACGGACATTAATGTTCAACTCCGTAGCCTTTTAATTTTGAATCGAATCCAGAAGACTATAAAACTTCTGAATCCATCATTAGGGCAAACAAGCTTTCGTGGATGACATTTTGACGGGACTAAACAGAATTTGAGTTACTTTTTAGAAGAAAAAAAACTTCGAAAACATCGTATGTTCAGCCGCTCAACGGTCAGAAAATTCTAACCTATGATCCATTTACCTAATAGGATATTTTGCGACATCAGTGCGGTCGGTATGAATTTGGAACAGAGTTCAAATCGATTAATTATGGTTGGGAGAATTCCTTCTTTAAAAGGCGAAAGTTCTATTCCACGAGCCATAGTAACTCTAAGTTAAGTAATATTACTGATCAAAAACCACTTTCTGTAGAAGAAAGAGCTAACAGCGTTCCCTTTTCATAGAAGAATTGAACATTTTTAAGCGTCACCTATTCTCCTTTAAAGAAATACACCGGATGACGCCTGTTTCTTAAACTTTCAGTCTAATTTTGGGGTAGAGAAAAAACGCGATTACACTATTGGAAACGATAAAAAAAAAAAATAGTCTCGTCGCTTGAGCGTTGTACCAGACAATGTTCGAAAGACCAGTTCCGGGGACAAAAGCAAATAACTCGATGAGGAAATGCTGGAAATATTTTTTTAAATATTTTAAGATGGATCTAATATGAATATCTGAAATTCGCTCATTCCTCCTAGTTACTACAGTTGAGTCCCCTGCGACTGTCATCTTAAATAAGTTCCAGATTTAGTCGACTGTTGGATAAGTGTGGGGGCGACTTTTATTCATATTGAACCGAAGCCAAAAACCTAACCTAACCCCAACTTAACCTAAACTCAGCCTTCTCTTATTTATTTTCTTAAAGATTGCAAGAACGTCAAGTGCGCGTTTACAAAATTGAAAAGAAAAAAAAATTGAGGTTTAGATAAAGATGCTTCTTTCTGTTAACACAAACTTCATTTTATACCTTTAGTGCTACTTAGAAATTATTCATTACCAGAAAACAAAAAGGCTTAAATCTACACATTTAGAAATTCCGAGCAGCGCTGCACCAAAAATTGTTATTCATTTGCTGACTACAT